AAACCATTTTATAGAGGATGGGCATGTGGCCGTGGTTTTGGCCCATAGATGTCCATAGATTTTTAGGATGATTTTGGGAGATTGTCGTCATAGATATACGTAGATTCACCCAGTATTTTTTTTTCGAAAGTAAACAATCCATAGTTTGAATCTTGTTGGGTCACGCATGGTGAATCGGCTGGACATTTGCCAACAGATTGGGAATACAATACTCAGCTAAAAGTTTTTGGTTTGGCATGTGTTTATGATTTTTATATATTTATATTGATGTGTGAGTCATAGGTATACATATGTTCCAAAATACATCTACAACATATTCAATATACCAATCATCGCCAATCTATATGACACATTGAAAACAATAAACGTATATAAACGTAACATGTCTCATTTTCTTGTTGTAGCCTTCCCGTTGTACCTCTCCGTCGTAGTTTTCCCCCTTTACCTTGTTGTCAGTCCTTCTGTTTCCGGGTCGAAGTCCTCGAGCCGACTGGCTGGGGTATAAAGTGGCCATTCCAGGTAAAAATCTGTTTTTTCAGGGGTTTTACTTGGACTGGCCACTTCATAGAGGCATTCTCTGTTGGGGGAGGGGGTATAAAGTGGCCAGTCCAACATAGATTCTTTTTTTTCAGGGGTTTTACCTGTACTGGCCACTTTATAGAGGCATTCTCTGTTGGGGGAGGGGGTATAAAGTGGCCAGTCCAACATAGATTCTGTTTTTTCAGGGGTTTTACCTGGACTGGCCACTTTATAGAGGCATTCTCTGTTTGGGGGAGGGGTAATAAAGTGGCCAGTCCAACATAGATTCTGTTTTTTCAGGGGTTTTACCTGTACTGGCCACTTTATAGAGGCATTCTCTGTTGGGGGAGGGGGTATAAAGTGGCCAGTCCAACATAGATTCTGTTTTTTCAGGGGTTTTACCTGGACTGGCCACTTTATAAAGGCATTCTCTGTTGGGGGAGGGGTATAAAGTGGCCAGTCCAACATAGATTCTGTTTTTTCAGGGGTTTTACTTGGACTGGCCACTTTATAGAGGCATTCTCTGTTGGGGGAGGGGGTATAAAGTGGCCAGTCCAACATAGATTCTGTTTTTTCAGGGGTTTACTTGGACTGGCCACTTTATAGAGGCATTCTCTGTTGGGGGAGGGGGTATAAAGTGGCCAGTCCAACATAGATTCTGTTTTTTCAGGGGTTTTACTTGGACTGGCCACTTTATAGAGGCATTCTCTGTTGGGGGAAGGGGTATAAAGTGGCCAGTCCAACATAGATTCTGTTTTTTCAGGGGTTTTACCTGGACTGGGCACTTTATAGAGGCATTCTCTGTTGGGGGAGGGGGTATAAAGTGGCCAGTCCAACATAGATTCTGTTTTTTCAGGGGTTTTACTTGGACTGGCCACTTTATAGAGGCATTCTCTGTTGGGGGAGGGGGTATAAAGTGGCCAGTCCAACATAGATTCTGTTTTTTCAGGGGTTTTACCTGGACTGGCCACTTTATAGAGGCATTCTCTGTTTGGGGAGGGGGTATAAAGTGGCCAGTCCAACATAGATTTTGTTTTACCATAGATTCTGTTAACGACTTCGATATAGATATTTGTCTGGCTGTCGGTTTCGTTCGGTTTCGAAATCATTCGAAGTCTTTTGGGTTCCCCATCGATGAGATCGATGATATTCCCCCAAAGTTTGAACGTGGCCCCTCAACTTTATAGACAATCATGTCGATGCTTCCATCGTCGCGATTAAGAAAATCATCGCTACTACAACGATCGTTGTTTAGTAGGAAATCCACATTATAGTGCCACTGTTCGACACAAGTATTACTATCTGGATGTTCGGCATCTCACTTTATAGTCATGTGACACGTTCACAAGTACCCTCAAAAACCTACATCGAGTTTTATGTTTTTACGCGGCCAGGCGACTTTATACAAACGTTGGATTTTGACTTTATAGACAAAACATGTTGGCTTTCCACTTTATAGACTCCAAACATGTGGCCATTCCAGTTTATACCAGGCTATTCTCTATAAAGTCAGCCGCAAAGCATCTAGCGAGCTGTACATGGGGGATTTTCGTGACCCTGCCCATCTTACTGGCGGTTTTTAAGCGGGAATAAGGGAATACAAAAACTATGCCCCATGGCAAGTTCCAAGTGCTTGATGATGTGGTTCAATGTTTACACCAGTGTCTCTGGTTAAAAATATCCATTTGTGATGATGAGTTGGTTGGAGAATGGAATTGTACTATTTAGTTATGACATGATCAAAATAAAAAAAATGAAAGGCCAGTTGCCTCAGTTAAATAAGATCTAGACCAAATGTATTTAAATGTGGACTAATTAGTAATATTAATAGATCAATTGTATCAAATTATTGCCCTTAAAATTAATGGATCATGTTGCATTGCCCCATGCTGAAGAAGCATCATCAATCACATGCATTGCCCCATGCTGCAGAAGCATAACATGCATTTTCCCATGCTGAAGAAGCATCATCACATGCATTGCCCCATGCTGCAGAAGCATAACATGCATTTTCCCATGCTGAAGAAGCATCACATGCACTGAAAATTGCCCAAATCAGATGCCAGTGAAGCATCCATGCTAAAGAAACAACCATTCTTGGAAACATCCATGCTGTTTTTTTTTGGAATCTTTAATGATATTTTGGCCAGGATCAAAATTCATGGCAATTCGAACAGCCAAGATCAGTGTGCTAAGGTGGCACTGACGCATCTGTTCAGAATGAGGAAGATTGCAAAAAGCGGCCAGCTAGCTGGCCACATGCCAGCTTGCTGGCAACTGAAACAACCCCAAAACGGCTAAGAGGCCAGCTAGCTGGCAAGAGTAAGACATAATATGAAACAAAATATGAAACAACAAACTGGCCAAACACCGTAAGGGTCTTTTGGCCAGTTTGTTGTCTATATTTTACATTTAATTTATTACAAGACATTGACTGGCCAGCTCACTTGCCAAAGGCCCTTTCTTTACATGCATGGCGACGGGTGATGCCCACAGTGAGTGTCAGTACACTGCTTCTTGGGCTCAATTTGATTTGCGTCAATTTCAATCGGAGCTCGAAGGGAGCATCGGCGAATGATCTTCCGCATGGCCTCTTCCAAGTCTATGCTTGAGAGCCACTTCTGAGTTGAGGCTGAAAAGAAGCGAAAATAGTTTGAAAAACGTCGGTCAAACAAAATCAAACCTCAGTCAGTGAACAGCAATAACATCCAAGCCGCGGAGTTGTTCCTCAAATAGTTGTACTTCGCCTTGAGAAGCTCCAGCGGCATCCTGTGCAAGAGGCGTTTTTGAACCATCATCGGGCATGGCGCTGGCTTCTCCTTGGCTCGCGTCCATTGTCCCATTTTGCTGGCTTGGATGGTTTTCGCAGTCACAGAAGGGGGCGGTGGGTGGTCGCATCATTCCCATGGATACAAATGAGGCTCTTGACAATGGACGACGTTTGGCCTGGGAAATTTTGCGGCAGTCAAGTGTAAGTTTCAGTCAAGCCAGCTGGCAGCGCACATTTATGATCAGCCAGCAATCTGGCCATGCAAAAAAACACTTTATCAGTCGCGGTGCTTCGCCATTGGAAGAACAAATTTGAAGGACCAGCAAGCTGGCCATTTCAACACCAGCAAGCTGGCCATTTCAGGACCAGCAAGCTAGCCAATTCAGGTTATCATTTCAAAATTTCAAAGGGTGACAATCATTTTCACCATTTGATTCCAGGCACTGGTAGTCAGTCCATTCCTGACCAGCAGTGGTCTTACCACTGGTCGTTGCTAAAGAGGGTTGTGTTTCCAGACCTTCAAGTCTGTCTGGAAAAGGCCAAGCATGCACCACCCATAGATGTCGTCCGCAGATGCACACAGGACTGCCGTGAGCAACACGGATCTGCCGGCGGAGTCCCACACCTCAACTCATCGATGATTTTGTTTCGCAAGTTGACCTGGATAAAAACCAAAGCTCATTGTGTACATAGAGTGGACATTTGATGATATCAGTTACTATTTTTTAAGTTTGAAGGCAAGAAACGCCACGGAAAAAAACCTTCTCCAACGTAGGCAACATCTCGAAGATCATGGATGTGCACAGTGCCACCCGCTTGTACTGCCTCAGATCAACCCAGAAAAAATGTTCAAAATCAATGGCAAAAAACTGCCTGGGCACGGAACCATGTTCTAAATGCAAACTGATAGTACCGTTATCAACCAGCAAGCTGAAACAACCAAACAGTTTCAACCAGCAAGCTGGTCCAATCATCAACCAGCAAGCTGGTCCAATCAACTAGCAAGCTGGTTCAATCATCAACCAGCAAGCTGGTCCAATAATCAACTAAGCTGGTTCAATCATCAGCCAGCAAGCTGGCTGGGTCAATCATCAACCAGCAAGCTCGTCCAATCATCAACCAGCAAGCTGGTCCAATCATCAACTAAGCTGGTTCAATCATCAACCAGCAAGCTCGCTGGGTCAATCATCAACCAGCAAGCTGGTCCAATCATCAACCAGCAGCTGGTCCAATCATCAACCAGCAAGCTGGTTCAAAGCTGGACTACTTTACTTGAATCGAACAAGTTGCAACAGCACATCTTC